TCCGTCTGACTGCAATGTTGCAACTGTACATGTGTAGAAAGTATATAAGAACATTTGACCTTTCGAGGCGATGAGCCTCACCAGTCGCCCATGGTATCACCTCTGCCCGAAGACTAAGCCCACTTTCGAAAATGATGAGTTGTGCGGCTCATATGCAGGGAGGCCAAAAAAAGACACTTTGACCGAGTCATATATCAGCAAATTTTTCGCAGCAGAGGACATGGACGAGACCGGGGCGGAAGATAACCAAGATATCCCTCTAAAAGCAGGCGCTGGCGCTCTCCTCATCACCTTCATGTACACCAAAATATGAAGTCATCTCCAATCGCAGCCTGACTGGAGAAGACCTTTGGAATTCATGTCACCTCCAAACAGCTGCGAAACTTCTAGTATGGAGTCACCCATGGGTAGCTACCTGGAGACCAGTACTCTCGATCTGGAAGACCTCCAACCGCCAACGTCGCTACGGTCTTGGACATCGTATTCACCGCAGGCGCCCAAGGCGCGGGTTGATGGTGTGGACCGGACGTACCTGGGATGGAGAGACCGGTATTTTCTTAGTGGACCCCGACCTGAAGTGAGCGTGCGCTTGACATTCGGAGCAACTCCGAGAAGAATACCCTCCCCACATGTCGTCGCTCGTACCTTCTTGGAAACTTTGTACTGCTACAGTATTGGGTGACACCACACGGAATCGAAGGGCGTTGGAAAAACTTTTGCCTACTTGGAATGGAAAGGGGTTGGGTACCTGAAAAAGATGGATCTAAGCAGGTCGCCTGAACTAAACCTCTTAATTATCCCGTTCGGGCGGAGTTCAATAGGGTGGTCTACAGTGGCCGAGAACGCAACGATCCCGCTGAACTCGGGTACTGACTCACGTCGCGTGGCAGATCTTTCGATGGCGCTCGTCCGGAAGGTAGCGGGGTATCATGATAGCATTCAATATGCTCTTTGATATGACGGTAGAAATGTCTGATAAGAATTTAATAAAGTGTAACTTATAGCGCCTCGAAAGTCAAGGAAGAAAAGTGTCTCTTTTTTGCCCCTCTGTAGTAATAACGAGGTAGCAAGTAATTCAGGAGTGAAGAAAAAGAAGCTGAAAAAATTATGGGGAGTTCCTCACATAGACCTCAGGCCAAGAACCTCAGGCCAAACTGTGGTTGTACGTACATAAGGAGAAGAGAGGACGTGATCGCACGAGTTCTCACTTGTTGGTATCAGCTGTTTTCCCTTATCACTTCACTCTCGCTATTCGAAGTGGAGAGAGTCAGTAGCAGAACAACCGTACCGTTAAAAATGAACGTTTAGTGTAGTGGGAGCCAGTTGGGCGAGGCGGCAACCGCTTTACTCTCCTCATCATTACGGACTGTCGGGGCGTATCAGCCAGTAGGAGTGCGCACACTGTTTGAAGCCGTTCTCAGCCTTTTCGTTGAAACGCGTATGCGACAAAAAGTGGTAGAAAACGAGTAATACGAAGGATATAATGCTGTCATGTCATTTGCTCGCTTCAAACAACTGGTGCAGAAAGACTTTGGCACCGCGGAAAACGCAGCCGCACTGACCCGCCCGACAGTCCGTAATGATGAGGAGAGTACGAGCGGTCAACCCTACCCTCTTGTATTTTTGAATTGCGAAATAAATACATGCTCCATCCTTGAGAGGAGAGCTACGATATCCGAAGAGGGCGTAAGACCATTGAATGACCGCGGGCTCATCCTTTACAAACACCGCGATGCATATTGTGGATAGTCGCTACCAGTAACGGAACTGTATCGCTAGGTAACACTCCAGAGTGGAAGCAAAAAAATTATGGGTAACACCGCGAGGACTTCCTTGCAGCCTCACTGTACGAGTTGTCCGGAACCTGCTGTTTATGATAGTAAAGCGATCCTTCTGACGTCTCTGCCGCACTACGGTTTTTTCACAGATCCAATGATATACCATTCTAAACAAAAAGAAAAAAACTAAGACACAGTGTAAAAACTGAAACTATGGCAAAAAATAGATTGAATAGAATGAAATAAAATAGACCAAATAGACAAAAAATAGACTAGAAAATAGTTTTTGTTGGGGTTGGTAACTCGGACGGCTTCGGCACTACCACTCAAGAGAGGCCGCAGCGGCTTCGTTACATCTTGTGAAGCCGCGAAGGTCTCAATAACTGCAGGTCGGACTACTTGTCTGGCTTCTGAGTGCGGGGATTGTCTTCAGGGTTTAGTTTAGTGAGTCTGAATAGCCATTTCTACTCGAATTGTCTTCTTTTCACACAGACAGAGCAAAGTTTAAGCGCGAAGTTTCAGTTGTTGGCTGTTTTCAAGCCGCCTGCGACGGATCCCTGCAGTCGTCGATCGGGAATTTTGATGTGAGGCGTAAGGGTCACGACGCGGTGACCAGCTGTCTCCAGCCTATTTTAGCCATTTTCTACCTGATTTACGCTGTTTTTGGCTGTTTCTCTTGAGGTTAGTTGTTCCGTGTTTTCACAAGGCAAATTATGATTAAGACTACTCTAAATTCTGCGAATAATTAAACAAACAATTAAACGGATACCTAAAAAAAAATTGGTAAACAACATCTATTTTCAGAAAAAAAAGACTTCACGCTCTAATGTACTTCATAAAGGCAATGAAACAACTAACAAAAAAAAATAAAAAGTACAGTGAAAATTAGAGAGAAAATGGCTAAAATAGGCTGGAAACAGCTGACCGCCGCGCTCGTGACACGTCGCAGCCGCGTCGCGACCCTTGCCGCCCTAATCAAGTCCCGGATGACGACTGTAGATCTAACTGGGCGCCGACTTGGCGCGCTGTACGGTGTCGGTACTAACGAGCCCCTCAAGTACTTTGTTGGAACGAAGTCACTAAAACTGGGGCTTCATAGATTTCCAAGGAAGCACCTTGTGGAGCTCGACGAGCTGAATACAACGGAATAGGGCTCTGTATAAGTAAGGCGAAGAGAAATTGAGTTCTAGTGGAAAAACAAGAAAGACGCAGACTAGAAATTTTTGTTTTATTTTTCGAACAATCAGGTGGGTATTGTACTGAGGTTACAATCCTGTGTCAAAGGTTTAAGAAGGATTAGTGTCGCTCAAAACAACTTACAGAGGTTGTAAAAGAGTTGAGGCGATGCATACCTCTGGTTGGTTTAGTTTAGAGATTCCAGTGCAGCTCTCGTATAGCAACAATGCAGTCACAGTACCAGCCTAATCTGATCACTCATCATTTTTGGTACCCTCGTCGTCGAACGAAGACTATGGGAAGGAGTAGGTCTCCACGTGTTTTGTTCGACCTGTTTGCAGAAGCTAGGTTTTCGGCTCTTCACCATTTTGCATTCCCTCACTTTCTACACACCCTTCATTCTTATACTTGAGCGACAATGCTGCCTATTGTATCACGCGGAAGCAGATACAACTTTTACACTTTTTTATCTTGCAAAGGTTTACAGCGCGAATGATCTCACGAGACCCGAATCACCTAATCAGCGCTGATAACAACGCGCGCCGTAGACCACCGTTTTCGAGTAACTTATTATCTCTTCAATAACGATGTTTCTTGAGTTGTTTCGTGCTAGTACATAGTTTAACTTTGGTCGTGCCCTACGCTTTGCAATTATGCGAATATCAGTGTTCCCCTGTTCAAGCTAAAAACTTATGGAATAGAATACACTCTTGGGATTCAAGCATGCCGTAACTACTGTTCTACAGAATGCTAAAGCTCATTGAATCTCAAACTCACTACCTTTTGGAGGAAAGATCTAGTAGAATAAGTGAATTGTGGCTGGTTTGTGTGGCAGCAGATTACAAGCAGGTCACATCTCACGCTCCTCCCTAACGTCTTTAAATTGTCAGTTGGTTACCAAAAGGTCCTATTGCTCTAAACATTCACTCCTCATACTAAGCAAGGCTTTTTTCAGATACTATTTAGCTCACAAGTGCAACTCCTTGAGCTCCTATCCACTTCTTTTTTCCTTTTGTCACTTTGGATTTTTTGATAGTCTCTGTCTGAAGCATATTACGAGGCACTTAGTGCCTATGAAGCAGAGCCTTCGGCACTGAAGACTCTTCATTTCAGAAGAACTACCTGGCTAACAATAAGTGAAGTCGTGAGAGTAGTTACACAACCGCGCAGCAGAGGGTCCACTGGAACAGCTCAGGCGTTTCAAAGGTAATACTTCAGTGGCGGAAGTGAAACATCGGGTGATAATTCGTTTCACCGAATATCCTCATCTTCAGGTTTTGCAGCAGGCACTTTTCTACAGTGCAGTGCAGTGATTGGTTGTTAAGTTTCATTCACCCATTCTGACTGAGCACGAGGTTGTTTCTTTTCGACACTAGAAACCTGCACTGATGTCGGCATAACCTCACAGCGCTACCTTCAAAAACGGTCTCCGCGCTCAAGCAATTCGTAGGCGATATTCCCCTGACACATAGCCTGAACATCACTCTCTAAGACTGCCCCTTTTCCGCGGCTTCACAAGAATTAGGCACTGCGGTCCTCACAAGTGGCAGTCCCGACGCCTCTCTAGTTGACCCAGCCACCAGAACTCGAAGTCTTCCACAATTTCGATTTTTACACCATATTTTTCTCTTTTTTCACTGTTAGACGGTTTTTGCATTGGATGACGAAAAGAAATGACTAGTAAGCTGAGGCATAGGGTTATCTCTTTGTTGGCACAGAACAAGCAATTCCGAACAAATCGTAGCGGGGATGCAAGTATCCGTATGGAATTCTCCACGATTTTCGCTTTTCTGCTATGAGAGTCCCTTGGCATCTATAGAAGGTTTATTGAACACCTATAGCCACAATATTCAATCGTGGAGTTTGTCTTTTAGCACAACTCGAGGATAACCTTTAAAGCAAAACATTTCGGTGGGTCACAAGTTCATAGTAACTTTATTTACATATAAGGGAAAAACGTCACCTTACGATCTGGGACCCGAGAGATCGCGAAGATTTTTGTGCAGGGGTGATAGTGTGCAGTCAGAATTGATGTTCCTCGTTCAGGAATCTCCTTGTAGACAAACGTCGAGATACATTCGCACTCGAGTGGTTGCGCAAAGGGAAAGAGAATCTGTGGCTCATCTAGAAGATTATAAATGAGGCGATTTGGAGCTATATTAAGTGTCCGTGTATGAGCTTCTCGAAACATGCGCACATCTTCCAGGAGATTTTTTGCTTAGCACGGGATGAACTTCAAGCGATTCACGCCTAGCTGAACACAATTTTATACTTTCGCTTTGTCTGCTTGACTCAAGGTCATATGATAGCTATTTCGCCAACGTAGAACAATCGTAGGTCAGTTCAATTTAAAATCATGGTTTTTTTTCTGCTACCTGTTAAAAAAAAGACAGACCGATAACGGTCCGCATCTGAAGGCGGAAGAGGCGTAACTGCGAGCGCGACATGACCAAGACAAAAGAGAGATTCGTATTCATGAGAGAAGAAATAGGCTTGAAATTGTGCAGCCCAGCACCCCCTTTTGCTGTTCCAAATGGGCTGTACACGATCAGCACTTGAGAGCGCTCATGTGCTGCCCCTAGATTAGCATTACCTTCACTTAGGAATTCGCTAGTAGCGGTCAACTTTTCACGTGATGCACGATAAATCCCTGAATGAATACACCTGGCAAGACGGAATTCCGCGGCCCTGAGCAGGCGCTATTAGCGCTATATCCAAGGGAGGTACCCCCGCGCAGCCGTACCTACCGCAGCGGTTGTTGGCAATATGCCTACAGAAATTCGTCCGAAGCTACTTTTTGAGTCATTAGAAACGAAGGCCTTTCTTCGCAGGTTTGAACGATTCATTTCGTTTTTCGCCATTTTCCCCACTATACGGCGCCCTGCTGGCATTTTAGGTCCAGTACCAAATTATCGTGCAAATGCTTCAAGCCGAAGGAAACGCTTGAATCAGATAAAATGAGGACTCCAGCAATGCCAACTTTAAGAAAAGCCTCGCGAATAAGTATTATGAGTAGTGGTGCTATTACGAGCCAGTGGTCGTTAAGTGACCCTCCAGTGAAGCAAAAAAAACGTACATCGAGAACGTCCTCCATGAGGACAATACCTAGTCTCATAGCATAGGCTTTCCAGACTTGCTAGGGAAATGACACCTTGCGGCCTCTGTGCAACGTCCCCATATAAATCATTCCTTCGTAACTACTGAATTTATCAACATTCAGCACTCAATACCAACAGAAACTAGAAAAAAAAACGAATAAGAAAGCAATGGAACAAAACACGAGCGCTGTTTGGCTTGTGATTCAATTGATGTTAGATTGGTTTTGCTGAAAAATATTTTCAAGAGGAAAGGGTCCACCAGTCTCGAAGTCCTTTGCACCGTCTCGTCCTTCTTAGGTCATTTCGTTTTTTTTACAGACATGGACAATAAGGAACGATTTCTTCCCAGCCAACGAGGTTGAGAATTTGAGAATTACATCAATGCCCGTTTAACAGCTTGTTTTTTGGGTTATTTATTTATTTATTTATTTATTTATTTATTTATTTATTTATTTATTTATTTATTTATTAACACCTAACGTGCACCATCGACAGCGAAAAACACGACTGTTAATAGCACATGAAAAAACCGAACATTCTCGTGGGCCATTGAAGGCCACCACATTAGCACGCCCAAAGGCGAACGCATAGAATGGCTTTACGACGCTGGAGGCAACATGCGGTGATTAGCGATTTAAATAGTTGTGTTGTAGCCAGCAAAGTCAAAATCGTAGAAGAGTGGTACAGCCTAAGAGAGTGGGAAGCCAGCCACCTATTGCGCGGAGGCATTTCACGAGTGACTTGATCGTGGGGATAGTTCAGAAATAACTTTCTATAATCATAAGGGTTTCAGCTTGTTTCTTTGACCCCGTACTTCTTGTTGTTCAACAGTATCGGTCTGCTGCGACTTTAAAAAAGGGGCCGATATCAGTTGTATTCCCAGATGGTGGTGGTACTTACACCTTTCAACATTAGTTTATTCACTTACGGGCTGCTAAGGGTGGAATACTCTCCTATAAGATGATGGTATTCGTTCTGAGCCTGTCCAGAGTTATGAAGCCTTAATGACCGTAATCGAGTGCCAATCGTAATTCGTGTATGTATATGGCACATCGTGCGGGAATCTGGTTGATGTCTACTCTATACTACTCTCCCATTACTTTTTGATGAAATTGATCAAATTGCTCAGTCTCCACTTTTCCTAAAGTTGGGGATAAGATTACATAGCAGTCTAATTGAACTGCTGAAGTCTATACTGTTTGAGGTTGCTGTGGCACGTACGGCTACATACAAGAAGTCCGATGACATTCCGATCACAACCTTTGGATGGATTCTCATTATCAGATCGTGACCAGATGCGAGATATGACGCTACAAATGTCCACTGGTATGCAGTACTTTCAATCTTGTGAGCAACGCATAATTTTTCAATTGACGTAACGTCTACCTGTTTTCAACACACAAAGATAAAGTGGCGATGATCTAAGCGTGACTTGGGCAATTCGCAATTGACGTAAGCACTCCGAAAATAGCTTGCAAAGCTTATCATTCAGCCAATTCCGATAGCAGAGCGAGGCCAAGCACCCTCAATTTGTTTCCTATGGCTAGCTTGGAATTGACAACCGTTATTTTACCGTTATCGCTATCTTTCATATTGTAGATTATATATTAATGGACCTGTGGGAGTCTGCTTGTTTCTAATCGCAAGGGAGGAAAGCACTCGGCGACTGCTAGCTCTTGAACCAACTCCACAACAAATACCACATAAAATTGATCACATAGGAGAAAAACACAAGAGAAAGGAGCGGTTAGAAAAGGCGGTTAGTCGGTGGTCTCGAGTCTCGAGTCGTGGAGGCCTGAAGACCTTCTACAGTCGATGGCTACTGCATCCTTGTCGAGCCATGCTATGGTTTCCGCCTGACCAGGCATATCTGCTTGAAAACGAGCTCACTCTTTTCCTTCGTTCTTCAGCCGTACTTCTCAGCCGTACTTCACTCATACTTAAACGGCGAAAGTAATAGAAGAATGCTGGCACCTTTGAATTATTATGGAGCCTTTATCGTTGATCGTGCACATCTTTTCGAAGTTTGCCATAGCCTTCTTTTTCAAACTTCATAGACTTTTCTGAATACAGTTGTCATTTTCGAAAGAGGGAGGACAAAACCAACAAAGCAGGACAGGACCGAGTGCAGTGCAGTGCCCCATTAAAAGCACTAGGCACGACGATTTGGTAGTTGCTCAAAAATAGTAGCTATATGGAAGAAAATTACAAGAAAGCGAAGTAAGCGGTCAAAAATCTGCCGAAAACCTTTGTTTTCCGTGTCATTGTACGAGGAATTTTGGACTTTCCCATCTGACAACCGCTTTGATAAATATGGCCTCTATTACTGTGGCTACTATTGGCTATGTTTTCATATGTCCACGTAACAACGCTTCATATCAGTGCTCCATAAATGAAGGGTAAAAATAGCAACGTCGGTATGACAGTGCGGTCTTTGTGGGCGGGCGGTTGCGGTGGGCGTTTGGGTCGATATGTTACGCCTTGGTTAAACTCTATCCTGGTGCTCTTGGTTGGAAAAGGCGCCATGCAATGCCCGCTAAGGAGGAGCCGAGTTCTGTTCTGCTAGGCGTATCAATCCTACACATCTTGAGGATTATCGTGCAATGAATGCTAGTTGACATTTGCCCACCGTGCGAATCGTATGCGCTGCTTGTCAGTGAAGTCATTGCAAGTGGCCTACTCACCACACGCGCGATCCCTTGCCTCAAGCGTGATCCTAAAAAAGTCTTCTTCCTTCTGTGGACCGCAAACCGGAGGTAGTTTCGTCTTGGTGGATTGAACCGCTGGCCCTTATCGGCTGGCACTCACGTCGCAGTCTTCTACGATTCGAAATGGAAGTTGAGTGCAGCATCCCAAACAGGGAGTGTTCAACGTTGAAAGCTTTATCCTTTTGTGCTAAGCCTGCCGCACAGAGTGCCTGTCTCATTGCACAAAGGGCCTCATGCCCTGTCGACTTTTAGTTTTCTCTGTAATAGCCTGGCAACTGCTTGTTACGCTTTCTCTTTTTTCATCACGCACGGGGCTTCGTTGAGGCAATGTATTTTTAGCTATATTTTTTTGTGTTTCGCAAGGAATAAGCTGCACAGCAGGCATCTGTGATGTGCACTTACCAGCTGCTACTTCGGGTCTACTGTACCGTTGTAAAAACAAGCTCAGTCTGAAGGCGACTTGTTCGTGTTTGAGTTAGTTGACGTTGCGAGAGATTGTTGAACGGCTCCGCAATGCGTCGCCTGTCGAGTGCTTTCGTAAAAATAAAAACAACTCAGCAACATACCTAGAATAACATTACAATGGGTGTCGGTCTCGTGAAAGATGGATGAGTTTTTCTTTAAGCTCAACAGGAGTTCATCACTGCTGATAGAATGATCCACCCATTCAACTCATTCGTTACCCTGTTACAAACGTGGCTTAGGGCGTCATTCTTCTCCTATGCACTCAATAGGTCTCACTCTCATCACGGTCTTTGTTCTAAGACGACGAAATTGTGTGTCGGTTCACATGTAGTGAGCAGTATCCTATCCTATAATGCTGAGGACCCCGTTAGAAGTTTGCAATGTTAAGACCCTGCAGTTCTAGAAAAAATATTGCTCAGTGGGTGCTTCGACAATTTTGATATATCTCCTGCTGTGTAGAGAGCTCTGGAGTTCGAGAACGCTTTCTAATTGCTCGTCGTCACTAGCACGTGCCTCACGCTTTTTCATAGGTTTGCTTTGGGCTTCAAGCCTAAACCAAGTGTTGGTTACAAAAAGGAAAAGTCAGTTTTACTGCCACACCACGTAATGCGATTTGCGCGAAATTTGTTCATCCGGTGAACCTGAATAAATGGCGAACCGAATACAGCAGAAGAGAATGCGCTGGTTTCCCAAGCGAGGAACCAAAGGACAAGCACGCACAAAGGAATGCAAGGAGGCGGCTGGCCGAAAACAAAGATAGCGGAACCTTGCTGCCTTTTACCGGGGGAACTGAAAATCAAAGAAGCTTAGTATAGCTTAGACAGGCCCCAGTTCGAAGGAAGGGAGTGTCTTGCCCA